AAACCACTGAGCCATATCCCCAGCCCTATTTTGTATTTTATTTAGTGAATTGCTTAGCACCTTGCTTTTGCTGAAGCTGGCTTTGATCTCACAATCCTGTCTCAGCTTCCCGAGCCACTGATTATAGGCTCACACCACTTGCCCAGCTGTCTGTTTTTTTTTTTATGATGGGTATGATAGAACTTTGAAACTGGAAATTACCCTTAGATATTTTATTCAAGTTTTTGAGTTTTACAAAAATGTAAGTTCTGAAAGGCAGGACAACTGGTTAATGCCATTTGAGGATTTAGCTCTTTTACTTTATAATTTTCTTTTTCTGTATATGTTAGAAATTTTAGAGACGCTTTCACCAACATCATCAAAACCTTGGTGATTTGTTTGTATTTTATCTGTTAGGACACCAGTGGTGAAAATACTGTAGTTCCTCCAGAAACATATGTGAAAGTGGCTGGCCACCTGAGATCCTTTCAGGTAAGGTCATAATAAAGTGGAGATTTAAATGTATTTGCATGAAATAATTTCTGGATTCATATATGGGTTTAGAATACTTAATAATAAGTCTCCCTAATTAATGGGAAGTTATTTTATTATTTTCTTCAAGAGGAAATAAGTTTTTCACTTTAATACACAAGTAACAATGGTAGAGAACAGAGTCTCTGCCTACAATTGTCAGTTATGGTGTCCATTAGTGTAGAAGGGAAAACACTAGATTTGGAGCCAGGAGACTATAAACTGTCTTTTTTTATATATGTAATATACATATAACTTGTAGATGAACACAGTATCTTTGTTTTATTTATTTATATGAGGTGCTGAGGATCGAACCCAGTGCCTCCCAAGTGCTCTACTACAGAGCTACAACCTCAGCCCTGGTTTTGCAATCCTGAGCAAGATGTGAATATCTCTGAGCTAGTTTTGTTTGTGTATTCATTATTGACTATATTTGGATTACCCTGAGTAAAAAATTTTAAGGATATAACAGTTATTTTCTTCACATTGGCAAAATTTTATAAGCAAGAAAAAGGCCACAATGTTTTAATCAGAAATTAAGTTGAATCTGCTCATCCTTTACTTACATTTTTCCACTTTATTCTAATAGAACAAAAAGAGCCTGGTAGCCTTTAAGATCATGCCCCTGGAGGATATGAATGAATTTACCACACATATCCTGGAAGTAGTCAATGCACACATGGTGCTGAGCAAATCCAACAGCCAGGTGAGCAGCTTCACTCTTTGTATTTTTTCCTTCCCTGAAAGAACATAGAATACTTTAGTGCTCTGGCTTTGATTTCCTTGACATTTTGAAGGTTGAGCCAGAAGAAAGGCATCTCTTAATACCTAACATTTCCTCCATGACTTTTGCTGTTGTATTTTATTCCAGATGAAGCATTCATGTTTTCAGAATTATGAGTTACTCTGTCCCCTCCAGCCTTTGATGATTGAGGCCTAAGACAATCCTCAGGTAGAAAATAGTTATAGACTGAGCTCTTAGCTCCCAGATTGTCAGTTTGTATTCAGAGAAAAATCCCAAATATGATAGCATTTTGCTGCTTATCTTCCACCCTATTGCTCGAGTAGGGAAAACTATGCATTGTTATTTTTTCCCTGAAATCATATGTCTTGGTTCGTGTTGAAATATCTCCATATTATTTTTTGTTGTATGAATTCACTTTGGTGAGTCTCTCTAGGACCACTCAAAGGGTTTGTTATTCTAGTATTAGAAAATCCTCTGATGATTTGAGTTGGCAAGGTGCAGGATTGGTTATGATAGGAGAAACTGGAGAACTGAGAAGCTATTAAAGATGTTATTGCAGGGGCTGGGGTTATGGCTCAGTGGTAGAATGCTCGCCTAGTACACGTGGGGCACTGGGTTCGATCCTCAGCACCACATAAAAAATGAAATATACTGTGTCCACCTACAACTAAAAAATTTTAAAAATAAAAATAAAGGGGAAAAAAAGATGCTATTTCTTCTCCTCTATGCCACACACTGTTAAGCACTGTTAAGGATGCAGAGAAACTCATTCATTCCTTTTTTGGAAAAATATTTATTAAGCCTACTAAACACCAATCATGACTCTAGACCCTTGGAATATAGCTGTGAACAGATGGATAAAGTATCTGCCCTCTGGCAGAGAAGCAGGCAGTAAACAAAACTAGTATGTAGTTTTAGGTAGTTAGGTGCTCTGAAGTAAAGCAGAATAGAAGACAGAGATGGCAAGAACAAGATGGTACAATTTTCAATAGGTGAAGAACATTCTAAGGAAATAGGAAGTTCAAGAGCTCCAAGTGTGAAGCAAGCTTGCTATGTCTTTTTTTTTTTTTCAAAGAGAGAGTGAGAGGGGAGAGAGAGAGAGAATTTTTAATCTTTATTTTTTAGTTCTCGGCGGACACAACATCTTTGTTGGTATATGGTGCTGAGGATCGAACCCGGGCCGCACGCATGGCAGGCGAGCGCGCTACCACTTGAGCCACATCCCCAGCCCCGCTTGCTATGTCTTGAGTCATACAAAGAAGGTGGATCAGAGTATGTGGAATGAAGTGAATGACAAGTGGAATGGAAGAAAGATATAGGCAAGGATGCAAGACCTACATCGTGTAGGGCTGGGGATATGGCTCAACAGATTCAATCCTCAGTATTGCAAAAAAGAGGGAAAAGGAAGTGAGAAGGGAAGGAAAGAGGAAAAGAAAAGGAAGTGTTAAAAAATTATTCCTAAGATTGAGGCTTGAGCAGGTAGATGGAGAAAGCATGTTTAGAAGGTAAAATCCAGAGCTCTATTTTGGACTTGCCATGTACGAGATGCCTGTTAGATACCTAAGTGGGCAGTTGGACTCAAGGGAGAGTTTCGAGGCTAGAGATTCAGCCTTGAGGGCCATCATCATGTAGGTAACATTTCAAGTCTTGAATTACAAGAAAGCTAGGGAGTTCAGAGGCCAGAGGTCTGAGCTTTGGAACACATAAGCCTTAAGAAATCTGGTAGCAGAATAGCAATTACTGAAAGTCATCAAAGTCTGGCCCTGAATTCTTGGGCTGAAGTGATCCTCCTGCCTCAGTCTCCTGAGTAGTTTTCTGAGGTATATACTATAAATGTGCATCACCATACCTGGCTTTGGAGAATGTTATGAAAAAAGTATTTCAAGAAGTAGCTGGACACGGTGGCATTTCTGTAATCCCAACAACCTGGAGGCTGAGGCGGGAGGATTACAAGTTCAATGCCAGTCTCAGCAAGTTAGTGAGGCCTTAAGCAACTTGGTAAGACCTTGTCACAGAATAAAAAAGGTCTGGGGATATGGCTTAATGGTTAAGCACCCCTGAATTCAATCTTCAGTATCAAAAAGGAAGAGGGAGTAGAGATAAATTGTAGAATGCTGCCTGAAGTCAAGTAAAATAATGAAAGAGGTTACTGTGGGAATTAGAAATGTGGATTTTCAAAAGAGGGGCTTTCATAAATAATGGGGAAAGTGGGTTAAAGAAACTGGGATTGAGTGAGAATGAGTGGTTAGGGAATAAAATTGAGCGTAACAATAATATTGAAGATTATAGAAGAAGTTTAGATCCTTTATCTCCATGAAAGCATTGATAAATGGCAAGCACATGAGACCACAGAGAAGGATTTCAGATTTCAGTGTGGACATTAAGAAAGCCCCCCTAGTGGGGGCTGGGGTTGTGGCTCAGTGGTAGAGTGCTTGCGTAGCATGTGTGAGGCACTGGGTTCAGTTCTCAGTACCACATATAAATAAATGAACAAAATAAAGATATTGTGTCCATGTATAACTAAAAAAATATATTTTTAAAAAAGTATTACAAAGCTACAGGAGTCAAAATAGTGTGGCACTGGCATAAAGACAGACAAGTAGATTGATTAGGTCCATCAACAAAAAAATACATATTTTTTTTTAAAAAGGAAAGCCCCCCCCCCCCCAGGATTAGGCATGTAGCTTAGGGATGAAGCACTTGCCTAACATGCATGAGGCCCGGGGTTTGATTCCCCAGCACCACAAATGACTAAATAGAAAGATGAGCCACCTGAAGCAGGAAGTAAGGTGTAGTCCACAAAGGTATTTGGATAAGAAACAGCCTGCAATTTAGTACTGCTGGATTGTAAAATGTAAGCCTCCTTACCAGGAGGCAGTGTGAAGGCATCTAGCTTGAAAACAAGGAATGATAATTGGATTTTGCTTAAAATAACAAATATACAGTGGATATTTATTGTATTAAGGAGCCTCCTGTTTGGATAGGATTTCTTGTGATATGCTTCCGCATTGCTCTTATATCTGCTGTGGTGAGTATGTAATATTTTAGACTCTCTGTCAGTCTTATTTTTCCAGTTCAATAGATGAAATATAGACAGCAATCTCATGTCAACCAGGCCTGTACAAAAAAAAGATGAACTGACTTGTATAGGAAAGTGACATGCAAAGAGTGCAATGGGTTCTATCATAGTAGAGGAACCAGAAGTTGAAACCAAGAAGGAAAATATCTAACTTGGCTTGGGGAATGTCAGTGAAGGCTTTACAGAGGCAGGGATTAAGTTGGACTTTGAAGGATGAGGAGTGTTTAGCAGGTAGACAAGGGGAAGAGCATCCAAGGCAGGACACAACGTGTTTAGGACAGAGATGTTTCAGGATGGCAAGAATCCCAGGTGCAACTGGGGAGTAAAATGTGTTGAGAAATCATGGATAAGAATAAAATACAGATTATGATTTCTTTTGTGGTGTCTTGAATATATAGGTGTTTCAATTTTCACAGGCAGAGGGAGCTACTTGAAAGCTTTTTAAGTGGAGGAATGAGTTGATCACAGGAGCTTAAGACTTGTAGCAATGGAGAAGGTTGATTGGAGTTTGAGAGACTTGATAGAGGATGAGAGGTTCCAGTCACAAGTCTAGGATAAGGAGAATCAATAGGCTCTCATGACATTGTGGGAAGGTAAGAGCATGGACACTTGTAGATAGCTCAGGTCCACAAGATTGGATTTGGGCTTGGATTTGCAACAGAGGTGGCATGTAGCAGGGCAACCTGATTTGGAGAGAAAAGAAATTTTTTTTTTTTTTTTTTTTTTTAGTATCTGAGATATATAGGTGGCTGCATCTTATAGGTAGGTGGCTGGCAGTGAGAATTTATGACCTTAGGAGGCTTGAGGAAACACTTGGTGGAACTATTAGCTTTTGGGGGAGACATGTAGAAGAGGAGGCTAATGAGGGATACTGAGCAGTTGCAGTTTAAGAGGTAAATGGAGAACCAGAAGAATATGGTGTCAGGCAGCCTAGGGAAGAACACATTTCAAGAGGACTAAGGTCAGCAGTCTCTGCTTCTTGAGCGATCAGGTGTTGTGAGGACTGAGCTGTGGCTAGTTGGTTGAAAAGTCACTGGTGACTTTGGTGGGAATGGTTTCTGAGGTATATATTTGGAAGAACCCAAATAGTGGTGGGCTGAGGAGTAAATAAGAAGAAGGAAAATGAAAGCAACGATTATAGACTACTTGTTTGAGAAGTTTGATGATTGAAATAAAAAGGAAGGAGGATGATGGGGACTATGTCTTCTTTTCTCTCCCTGCTTCATGACAATCCATAAATGATTGAATGACTGAGCCCTGAAGAGATCATTATAGCAAATCTCTTGAGTAATTTTCTTCTTGGTGTTTCTTTTCCTCTGGTTCCTCTCACATGAGAAAGAAAAGGAAGAGCCAAAATATCTTCCTCTTTTTGATACCATTTGTGTAAGAGGATTACTTTTGCATCCTATGAAGTATTCTTTAGATAATAGCTGTCCCTTCCCATATAAATATGAGTGGTTGTTAACTAGGAAAATTCTGTTTTGTCCAGGGGCGGGGCAGTATCAGGGATTGAACTCTGGGGCCTCGACCACTGAACCACATCCCCAGCTCTGTTTGGTATTTTATTTAGAGAAAGAGTCTCACTGAGTTGCTTAGCACTTCATTTTTGCTGAGGCTGGCTTTGAACTCTTTCTCCTGCCTCAGAACACGCCCGCGCCGTCCAAGCCAATGGATTATAGGCTCGCGCCACTGTGTCCAGTACATTTAAGAAAATTCTTGAAGTGCTACTTATAAACAAGTTATGTGAGATAGCATGTTTTTTTTTGTTGTTGTTGTTGTTTTTTAAGAGAGGGGAGAGGAGAGAGAGAGAGAGAGAACTTTTAATATTTATTTTTTCAGTTTTCGGTGGACACAGCATCTTTTATTTTTATGTGGTGCTGAGGATTGATCCCAGGCCTCGTGCATGCCAGGCAAGCGCATTACCGCCTGAGCCACATCCCCAGCCCCGAGATAGCATATTTAACTTTGTGAATTTTCTAATGTTGTGAACTTACTTTTTAATTCAGCCCTCAGTAGGGAGAGCATCTATCAGCAATCCAGGAATGGGGGAAGCAGGAAACTTCAGTGGGAATAGCTTCATGCCAACAAATGGCCTCACTGTGGTCCAAAACCAGGTAAACTCCCTGAGGGGCTCCAGAAATGTGAAACACAGACAAATCCTGTTATTTTCTTAATATACTAATGTTACCTTAGTGTCTTTTTTGTTGTTGTTGTTGTTCTTTTTTTCACCTATAAACAGACTAAGGTTTGCAAAGGGGAACTTGTTTGAGTTTTTAGTAAAATATTTTTAATTTGAATTGTTAGGTGCTGAATTTGATAAAGGCTTGCCCAAGACCCGAAGGGTTGAACTTTCAGGATCTCAGGACTCAGCTCCAACACATGCCTGTAGCTTCAATCAAGTGAGTATTGGTCATTATGAGCTAGGACTACCAGAATCATATCATTTCACCTCTCTAGTATTTCCTGGTAATGAGAAGTGAGTTAAAAAAAAGTAGAGTTGTGACCTATTGACAGAAGGAAAATGGTTCAACCCAGGAAAAACTAAAAAAGAACTCAAAAAGATAGCACTACCCATCACATCACTGATTCATTTGCTCATTCCACAAATACTAAGGTGTATTACGTATGAGGGATATAATTCTGAGCAAAAATTGATCTAATGTTTTTGGGGGTTTAGTCTGAAAGAATCTTAGCTCCTGGTCATCAGGTACACATTCAGTGTATCTGGTGTTCCTGTCCCCACGATAGACATGTGAGTGCATTAAGCTATTAGGACATGAAGCCATTAGACAGTCCTTCCTACATCCTTGACCTGATTCCATTTTAGATAAGCAGTCTCCTAATTCCAGCATAATGAGCTAATGGAACAAATGGAGTGTGATGGTGCTTGTAATAGTTGTTATTATAGATCAGTTGATACTCCAGGCCGAGGTTAAAAATGCTGATGTGCTGGGTGTGATGGCCAGCAACTCAGGGCAGCTGAGGCAGGAGAATTGCAAGTTTGAGATTAGTCACAGCAACTTCTCAAGGCCCCAAGCAACTTAGCAAGACCCTTTCTCAAAATAAAAAGGTCTGGGAATGGAGCTCAATAGTAAAGTGCTCCTGGGTTTACTCCCTAATATCAAAAAGAGAGAGAGAAAGACTGACGTGTATACTAATAAGATTTAATGTGCAAGCTGTACTACAGCTTTAGAATCTTGTTCCACTTTGCTCAGACTGATATTTAAGTGAGACTATTTTTTTTTGGCTTTCCACAGTTTGGGAGAGGGATCCAAGGCAGCCCTAATAGCTGTATGTTTTACAATATTACTGACATTCTCCCTGCAAGAGCCTTGTTTGAGCAGAATGGCTGTGAATTTTTCTTATCAAAGATAGAAAGTGCAGAAGCAGGTAATATCCAAAGGCAGTTTCCTTTCTTTCTTTCTTTTTTTTTTGGTACCAGGGATTGAACTAAGGGGCACTTAACTGACCATATTCCCAACCCTCTTTTATATTTTATTTAGAGACAGGGTCTCTCTGAGTTGTTTAGATGCTAAGTTGCTAAGGCTGGCTTTGAACTCACAATCCTCCTACCCGAGCACTGGGATTACAGGTGTGGGCCACCACACCCAGCAGGCAATTTCCTTTCTATTACACTGGTTTGAAAATGCCCCCCCCCTTTTTTTTTCTCTTTCTAGGCAAGCTGTGGATTTTCTCAGCAACGAGGGACACATCTATTCTACTGTGGATGATGATCACTTTAAATCCACAGATGCAGAATAACTGGATTTCATTGGGTACCTGAGATATTTCCAGCTGGATCTGTTTGCACAGTCCATTGCCTCCAGCTCTGTATATATATGGTCAAGTGACTTCAAAGAAGGAGATTCATCTGTAAAGAGTTTTAGCTGGCTTGAAACTTACTGACTGCTTTTCTGTTTTTGTATTTTGTGGTTTTGAAGCTCAAAGGGAGATGGACAGTTGACAGGGATGTAAACCAGGATGGAATTTTTCTCAAGTTTCAAGTAAGCTCGTTAGGATACCAGGATAGATGGGATTAGAAGAGATGCGCTACCAAGAGAGTTAGGCATTTACTTAACACCTGGGAGTTTCTGTTCTTGAAGTTTTTCTGTTCAGATGAGCAGGATGAAGGTCTGTGGGCAGAGCACCAACCTAGGAACCCACTGCCCTCTGTCTATTTTTGTTTCCCACTCTGGTTCTATGGTTACTTTCAAAATTGCACTTTTGTTCCCCTTCTTGCCTTGTCTGCTGCTGAAGGTGGGTTTTTTATGAAAATGAGATTTAGCATGCTAGCATTATAGGACGGAGGAGGAGAAGAAATGTTAAATAAAACAGTTCTGTTATTGCAGTAGCTTATGAAAATGTTGTTTTTATTCTAATCTGCTATGATGCTACTTTATCATTGGAGGCAGTTAGCAGAGTAAAACTTGAATCTTGGCTCCCACATTTTAGTAAGGATTTTGTTCTTTTTTGGGGGGGGTGGTTTACCGGGGATTGAACCCAGGAATACTTAACCCCTGAGCCACATCTCCAGCCCCAATTTTTAATATTTTGAGACAGGGTCTCCCTGAGTTGCTTAGGCTGACCTTGAACTCACGATCCTCTTGCCTCAGCTTCTGGAGCCGCTGGGATTACAGGCATGTACCACCGTGCCTGACCAAACTATGTCATAAAATCCTTCATTTCCCATTTTATGGAGAGAAAACTGTTATCTTAGAGGTTTAAGACAACGTTTATGAAGTATAACATGCAAATAAGAATTTTATGGGCTAGGGTTGGCCCGGTGGCAGAACGCTTGCTTAGCATGTGTGAGACACAGGATTCAATTCTTAGCACCATGTATCAATAAAGATACATTGACACCTAAAAAAAAAAAGAACTTTATATATGCTTTAACTCTTTCTAAATGAGATTTAACAACTGTTTAGAGAATACCCCCTGGCTTCTAAGGGTGAACATCCAGTTATTTTTTGTATGTGCATAGTAGTTCTGGTTTGAGTAGTTATGCAAATTCTTAAAGCTTGGTCATCCACTGTGATATTTGTAAATGTGTCTATTCTTGGAAAAAGAAGAAAGAACCGTGGCTAAAGACGGGTTAAAAAAATTTGAATTTGTAATATATGAATGGCTACTCGAATGGGTGAACAACTTCTCTTTCTAGTTATTAGGCTATCAGGCTTCCCTTTCAGATGGGCAAAGTTATGGCTGTGATTCTTTTTTTTTTTTAATAATTTTTTATATTTATTTTTTAGCTGTAGTTGGACACAATACTTTTATTTCACTTATTTATTTATATTTATTTATTTTTTTTTAAGTATTTATTTATTTATTTTAGTTCTCGTTGGACACAACATCTTTGTATGTGGTGCTGAGGATGGAACCCGGGCTGCACGCATGCAAGGCGAGCGCGCTACCGATTGAGCCACATCCCAGCCCCACTTATTTATTTTTATGTGGTGCTGAGGATCGAACCCAAGGTCTCGCACGTGCGAGCACTCTACCCCAAAGCCACGACCCCAGCCCAAGGCTGTGATTCTAAGAGTACAGAAATACTCCTAGAAACAGAAAAGCAGTCAGTAAGTTTCAAGCCAGCTAAAACCCTCCACACTTTCGGATTTTTTTGTTTATTTGTTTTTGGTACTGTGATTGAACCCAGGGGTTCTCTACCACTGAGGTATTATTCTCTACCACTGCCCTTATTATTTACTATTTCCCAGGCTGGCAACAAACTTGTGATATTCCTGCCTCAACCTCTCAGAATTTAGATGATGACTTAGCAATCAAAAGAACTTGCTCATTAATTGAGTAAGTGTTGGATACCAGCTGTGTCAACTAGGGAATATAAAGCACAATAAGAGATTAGCATAAACTGGCATGATGATGCAGGCCTATAATCTCAGTGACTTGGAAGGCTGAGGTAGGATGATCACAAGTTCAAGACTAGCCTGGGAAGCTTAGCAAAAAGGGTTTTGCTAAGCTGACTCAAAGTGAAAAATTAAAAGGGGTGGGGATGTAGCTCAATGATAAAGTACCCCTGGATTCCATCCTCAATATCCTCCCTCCTCCAGTAAAAAAAAGGTTAGTGTCATGGGACTTACTGGGGCAGCATTCCCAAGAGCAGAGAATAGCCTCACAGTAATACTGACCTCCCTGCCACTTTGGCATTCGACAGTATACCAATTTAGAGACAGGGTCTCACTGAGTTGCTTAGTGCCTCACTTTTGCTGAGGCTGGCTTTGAATTCAAGATCCTCCTGCCTTATCCCCCTGAGCTTCTGGGATTACAGTTGTACACCCAGTGAGTTGTGTAATTTCTGAACTCTACAGGGGCCTGTGGGGCTAAGCAGTCTGGAGAGCGAGCCAGGCCATTCCTCAGCAGAATGGAACTTAAGCCTTCTTGCTTCTGCTCTGTGCAAGCAGGAAAAACTTGCATCTTGGGCATTTGTGGTCCCCTGATAATGTCTGTCTTTTGCACAGAAGGAACAGCAGTTCTTAGAAACCACCCAGTGTCAGCCTAGCAATGGGTCCATCCTACTCTTAGGAGAATCCTTCAGGTCTACAGGTGGGAAATGAGGCCTCATGAAGAAAAAGATAAAAACAGTTGGGGGTGGGATTTAAAAACTTGGTAATTAAAAATTTTTGAGCCAGCTGGGCACAGTGACACATGCCTATAATCCTAGCAACTTGGGAAGCTGAGGCAGGAAGTTTGTAAATTTGAAGCCAGACAAAGCAACTTAACTACCCTTAGAATAAAAAAAAAAATGGCTGGGGATGTAGCTCAGTTGTAGAGCACCCCTGGGTTCAATACCTAGTACCAAGGGGAAGATTTTTACATCTATGTTAGTCTACTTAGAAATTATTTACATTAATATGTCAATACATTATAAAGCACTAAAAATAGAAATGAGGGCTGGAGAATGTAACTTAGTCATTAAATGCCCTTGGGTTCAATCTCTGGTACCAACCAAAAAGAAGAAGAAGAAGAAATATAAAGGGATATATAATACCTATTTTCTGTTCCATGTCCTGTGAACTACCCTGGGTGACCATGACTCAGGAGGAACATCCCCAGATCCATTGTAACACCCTCCCAACCTCTCTCTAGGAGCTATTCAAGAGATTTTTAAAAAGCACCCAGAAACCAGTATCTGCCTCCAGTTTGCTGCCAACCCTTTTTCTTTTTGCTCTGATAATAGTCTACAGTTGTGGTTTTTAATTTGTAAGTTTTCTTTTTAAGCAGTGCTTTTGCTAATGAAAAATTGCTTCTTTTCTCCACACTGCAGCATTTGGTCACTCAAAAAGCCCGTTTTGTAAGAACTGTCTGCCCTCCTATTGTGGCTTTGATATTTATCTTGCTCAATTTTATGCCAAGATTGAATGCAAACATGGGAATGAAAACTGGCATTTGGCCAAAGGTTCAGTGCCAAGAAGGCACTTTTTGTCTCAGTCTTATTACTTCTCCCATAATACTTTCTTCCTGAGGGTCCTATGCAGTGTAGATTAATCTCTCTGGAGAAGGGCATGGGAACTGATCGGTAGATGAGTTTGGGATGCCAATGCTAGGACTGTAGTAGCCTAAAAGAGCCAGTCAAAAGTCACCTAGAGAACTCCATACAGGAGTATGATGCTGGGAAGACCTGTGAAGTGAAGGAGGTCCAGACAGCCCAGCAAGGAGCAGGCAAAAGAGAACACATAAAGCGCAGTGCCTAGAATCCAGAGCTAGAACTCTGATCTTCTCAGGTCCTCCCTCAGTTGGAGATTCAGAATATCTTTTATGTCTGTCTTCACTGCTGATCTAATGTTTAATTCCATGAATACCAGGTAACCAAAGTTTCAGCACTTTCAGGAAATGGTGGTCTTACTTAACAAACATGTTGAACTTGGAAGCTGAGGTAATCTCTGCAAAAACAAGAATTGGTATTTGTTACTTTATCTACTGCACTGGATAGAGGAGGCTCTCTAGCCAGCATATTGGCTCTGTAGAGTAAGGCCTTTTTTTTTTGTACTGGAGATTGAACCCAGGGCCACTCAACCACTGACTCACATTCTCAGCCCTATTTTGTATTTTATTTAGAGTCAGGGTCTCACTGGGTTGCTGAGTGCCTCACCATTGCTGAGGCTGGCTTTGAACTCATGATCCTCCTGTCTTAGCCTCCTAAGCTGCTGGAATTACAGGCATGAGCCATTGCGCCCAGCATTTTTTTTTTTCTTTTGATAGTGGGTATTGAACCAGGAATGCCCTACCAATATCTCCATCCCCATCCCTTTTCATTTTTTACTTTGAGGAAGGGTCTAAATTGCTGAGGCTGGCCTCAAGCTTTTGACCCTCAGCCTTCCAATTCACTGGGATTAAAGCCATGTTGGTTGGGAATGACATTTTTAAAAAATTTTTTTTAATATGACTGCAGAATGCATTACAATTCATATTACACATATAGAGCACATTTTTTTTCCTATCTCTGGTTGTATACAAAGTATATTCACAACAATTTGTCTTCATACATGTACTTTGGATAATGATGTCCATTACATTCCACCAACATTTCTAACCCCTGCCCACTCCTTTCCCCTCCCACCCCTCTGCCCTATCTGGACTTTGTCTTTTCGTCCCATTTTCCCCCTTCCTTCCCCACTATGAATCAGCCTCCTTGTATCAGCGAAACCATTCGGCATTTGTTTTGTTGGGATTGGCTGACTTCACTTAGCATTATCTTCTCCAACTCCATCCATTTACCTGCAAATGCCATGATTTTATTGTCTTTTATTGCTCAGTAATATTCCATTGTGTATATATGCCACATTTTTTTTAACCATTCATCTACTGAAGGGCATCTAGGTTGGTTCCACAGTTTAGCTATTGTGAACTATGCTGCTATAAACATTGATGTGGCTGTGTCCCTGTAGTATTCTGTTTTTTAAGTCTTTTAGGTATAGACCAAGAAGAGGGATAGCTGGATCAAATGGTGGTTCCATTCCTAGTTTTTCCAAGGATTCTCCATACTGCTTTCCAGATTGGCTGCACCAATTTGCAGTCCCATCAGCAATGTATGAGTGTGCCTTTTTCCCCACATCCTCGCCAATACTTATTGTTGTTTGTATTCATAATAGCTCCCATTCTGACAGGAGTGAGATGAAATCTTAGAGTAGTTTTGATTTGCATTTCTCTAATTGCTAGAGATGATGAACATTTTTTCATATATTTGTTGATGGATTGTATATCATCTTCTGAGAAGTGTCTGTTCAGGTCCTTGGCCCATTTATTGATTGGGTTATTTATTTTTTTGGTGTTTAGCTTTTTGAGTTCTTTATATACCTTAGAGATTAGTGCTTTATCTGATGTGTGTGGAGTAAAAATTTGCTCTCAAGATGTAGGCTCTCTAGTCACCTCACAGATGGTTTCTTTTGCTAAGAAGAAACTTTTTGATTTGAATCCATCCCATTTATTGATTCTTGATTAAGGAAGTTGGGGCCTAATCCAACATGATGAAGATTTGGGCCTACTTTTTTCTTCTATTAGCTACAGGGTCTCTGGTTTAATTCCTAGGTTCTTGATCCACTTTTGAGTTTTGTGCATGGTGAGAAATAGGGGTTTAATTTCATTTTGTTGCATATGGACTTCCAATTTTCCCAGCACCATTTTTTGAAAAGGCTATCTTTTCTCCAACATATGTTTTTGAACCTTTGCCTAATATAAGATAATTTTAATTTTGTGGGTTAGTCTATTCTGTACCATTGATCTACCAGTCTGTTTTGGTGCAAATACCATGCCATTTTTTGTTCCTATTTTTCCCTACTGTTGCTTAAGGTCTGGTATAGTGATGCCACCTGCTTTACTCTTCCTGCTAAGGATTGCTTTAGCTATTCTGGGTCTCTTATTTTTCCAGATGAATTTAATGCCTGCTTTTTCTATTTCTATGAGGAATGCCATTGGGATTTTGATTGGAATTGCATTAAATCTGTATAGTGCTTTTGGTAGTATGGTCATTTTGATAATATTAATTCTGCCCATCCAAGAGCAAGGTAGATCTTTCCATCATCTAAGGTCTTCTTTGATTTCTTTTCTATAGGGTTCTGTAGTTTTCATTGTATAGATCTTTAACCTCTTTCTTTAAGTTGATTCCTAAGTATTTTATGAGTGTTGATTTTTATATCCTGCTACTTTGCTGAATTCATTTACCTAGTTCTAGAAGTTTTCTGGTGGAACTTTTTGGATCTTCTAGGTATAGAAGCAGATAATGCTAATTTAAGTTCTGGAAATGACATATTTTAAACATGGTATGAATTTCATTACTAGAAAACAGTGTACACATGTGGGAAGAGTACATATTAGAGACAGACACAGCTGCATGATCTTGGTCAACAATGCTACTATTAACATGTTTAGTGAGTATTTACTGTGTGCCAGATACTGTGCTAAATACTTGATCTTTAAAACAGTATTGTTAGATAAATAACTATTAGTTTTATGTGTCAAGAAATAAACTTAGCTGGGTGTGGTTGTGCATGTCTGTAATCCCAGTACCACTGGAGGCTGAGGCAGGAGGATCACTAACTGAGGCCAACTTCAGCAAGTTAGCAAGACCCTCTCTCAAAATTTTTAAAAAGGAGAGGAATGTAGCTCCGTGATAGAACATCCTGGAACTTCAATCCCTGTTACCAGAAGGCAAACAAACTGAAGCTTAAAGAGGTTGCAATAACTTTCTGATAGCTAAAGCTGGTAGGTGGCAAGCTGGGATCCTAACATAGGCTCTTGCTTTTGGGGAATTCACCCTTATTTACTGACTGCATTAATCTTCCTCCTGAGGCTCTTGATCAATCTTTCTCCTAATCTTTAAAAATCAAGCCATTGTCTGCCTCTAGGAGTTAAGGAATTGGATATGGTTTGTAAAGGGTCTGGTATACAGGCAGAAGTTAAGAAAAGATAAAAGATACTCATGTAGAAATCCAGCCTGGTGTGGTGGTGCATGCCTGTAATCCCAGCAACTCCAGAGGCTTAGGCAGGAGGATCACAAGTTCAAGGCCAGTCTCAGCAACTTAGTGTGGCCCTAAGCAATTTAGACCCTGTCTCAAAAAATAAAATGTGCTCCTGGGTTCAATCCATAGCACTAAAAAAAAAAAAAAAAAAAAAAAAAATCCAGATATTACTTTTATTACATGTTTTTAGAAGAAACAATATTAATAGTCACTTATAGCTTTAACAATGTCAGCACCACCTACTGAAACCTGTTAGTCTTCCACAGCTTTGGGTCTCCACAAAGTTTTTTCATGTGTGTTTTGCTGGGAATTGGATCCAGGGCTTCATGCATGCTAGGCAGTGCTCTACCAACTGAGCTATATTCCCAGCCCCTCCCTTAGTTTCTTTTTGAATTGGCTCCCCTAGTTCTTGAGAACCAAGGCCCTAAGATTTTGTTCTTGAAGCCAGATCCACACACATTCATACAAATCCCATTTAGCAAGTGCTGATCATGTGCCAGGTGCTATCAAGATGAGGATGACACAGTCCTAGCCTCTGAGGGGCAAAAAACCTGGGAGGGGTGGCAAACATGAAGGGCCCTCAATGCAGTGTGGTCAAAGAAGTCCCCTTTACTCAGTGAAGGTTGGTGGCCTTTCTGACTTCTCTGCACCCGCCAGTGAGACAACTGGGAGGGATGGACACAAGACTGAGTAGAGCCCAGCCAGCTCCTCTGGATACCAAAGCTCAGGCTGAGGGATCCACGAGCAAGGAGCTGGTGCTGTGTCTGCTGTTGAGTTCCATTCTCTGCCTGAGTGATTTCTCTGAGACCTTGTGCCAAATGCTGGAGGCTTTCAAGGGTTGGCTGGTGTCCTTATTCCCCAGGATGCAGCAGTTAGGAGGCTCAGCTTCTCCAGCACCTAGAGGGTTTTCCGAAAGTGCTCAGCTATTTCTTCATAATCATGTTCATCGGTATCTGCAAAAGCATTCCAAGTCAGTGAGAATCTTTGGCATTAGGCAAGTTCCTTCCCCTCTACAGTTTCCTCACTAGAATAGGGAAGAAATTGGCCTGGGTGTTCTGGGTCCTTGGTAGCCAAGAAACCACAATTTGTTCTTTGAACACCTCAGCTACTTGGTTTGCCCTGTGTGCCGTGGGGGGGGTAGTGTGTTGGGGATTGAGCTTGTTTCTTTGCCAGGGCTCTTCAGCCCAATGGGAGAGAGACAAGGGACCTTCCTGGCTCAGCCCTCAAATTGGGACCACGGAGATGAGAACAGTGCATTTTCCTGATGTACTGAGTAGCAGAGAAACAGGGTAGGAAGGGGAGAAGCAAGGACAAGGTGGGCAGGCATATAAGGGACTCACCTGGATTCTCTGTTTGGGACTCAGTGGGCCTGATGCCCTTTCGGGTGGTAACCTTGCTGTACATATCTGATTTGTCCTTGAAAAACTCTGGCAAGGTCTTCGCCTTTAGTTTGGGCAGCAGAGAGGTCTTGGGATGCTTTGGTTTTGAGACTTTAGAAGACTTTGGGAGAAAAAACAAATTAACAAGGTTGCAAGGAATAGCAGCAGAGTCCATGAAGTATAATTTACCAACAATGGTCACTTCTCTCTACTTGCTTTTCAGGTTAAGGCTTCCCAGGAAGCTTGTTTTTGGTACAAGCACATAAAATACTTGGTGGGGTAGGAAATACAGGGTTGGGGACTAGAGGTAGGGTATCCCTGGGATTCTTCACATAGGGAGCCAGTGAATGGCCTTTAAATCTGTGGTTGGAGGGTAGGGAGAAACAAAGTGGAGAGACCATGAGAAGATAATCACAAAGCTTCAGAACAAAGCTGCTGGTCTGAGGGCTCCAAGAGGACTTTCACTGAACTACCATAGGCCGTACATGTGTGCACACTGAATCCTCAAGTAACCCTCTAATAGGGTCTGTTTCAGTTTTCAATTTACAGATGAAGGAAGAGTTGTGCCTTGTCAGCTATCCCCACAGGGCAGAGGTCCTAAGTGGGGCCAAGGATTGGACCCAGCACCACATCGGTGACCTATGAAGCCAGTGGCCTTTTCACCACATCTTGCTTTAGAGAGTGAACCGTCCGCGTCCCCTGATCAGAAAGGGAGAGCCTGGTGTCTAGAGAGGAGCAGGTGCTGTTCAAGGGCCATAGCAGTGATTCCCAAGGCTGGGACTGAGGGCTCTCAGTCCTTTGTACAGTATTCTTTCCAGCACAGTCATATGCCTGTTTCAGGGACCCCAGTCTAGCCTGTCAAAAAATGACTGTCTCACCCCTGCCCACAGATGTGAGGACAAGACCACTCAGTACTAATCTTCATAATTTCCACTGCTATATAGCTACCAACATGGTACTAAGTACAGTCCCAAGGTCCAAAACTTTGTTAGTTTGGAAAGCATTTGTTTTATAGCTCTCTGCTCATTTTCTAGGCAGAGCAGTAGTAGTTAGGTGCATAGGCTTTACGGTCACACCTGTTTTTAAACTTAGCCCTGCCACTCTGTGAGCTCATGTTGAACTTGCTTTTCTGTGCCTATTTTCTCAATGAGAAAAAAAGAATATTGGATTCTGCTGAGCATGGTGGCACATGCCTATAGTCCCAACTACTCTGGAAGCAGAAGCAAGGGAATTGCAAATTCAAGGCTAATCTGGGCATCCTGGTGATACCCTGCCTCAAAATTAAGAAAATAATCTGGGGATGGAGGTCTGGTAGAGTTCTATCCCCAGGGTAAATGGTTTACCCTGGAACAGCTCCCTCCTGTATTTAGTGTAAGAATGTTCAGAAGTGAAATAGATTAATAAGAACTATAACCTAATCAGTGGATTAATCCTTTTGGTAGATTAATCATTTTTTATTTAAAAAGAATTTTTTAGTAGTTGATGGGCTTTTATTTTATTCATTTATTTGTATGCAGTGCTGAGGTTCAAACCCAGTACCTTACACATGTAGGCAAGCACTCTCCCACTGAGCCACAACCCCAACCCTGGATTAATAATTTAAATGGACTCCTTCCTGGGTGGTAACTGTAGACAAGTGGTGTGTGGTTGGAGGATGTAAGGCACTGGGGCATGGCCTTATGGGTTAAATTTTGTCCTGGGCTCCTTGATTTCTCTGCTTCCTGGTCACCATGAACTGAGTAGCTCTCCACCAACCTCTCCTGCCATGATGTTCTGCCTCACCTTGAGCCCAGAGCAGTAAGAGTTACCAGCTATGGACTCTCTGAAACCATAAGTCCAAAATAAACTTCCCCATCTTAGGTTGTCAGGTATTTTGGTCATAGTGATTAAAAACTTAACACCCAGCACCACAGGGGGAAAAAAATAAAAGAATTGGTTCCTACCTCAGGTGTACTGAGAGCAGTTGAGCTAGTGCTACAGAAGACCTGCCATGGAGTAGGTGCTCCCCTGGAAGGCAGCTAACAGCAGCAGTGCTGGTGAGGCCACCTCAGGTCTACCCTGAGATGGCTTCACCAGCACATGTGGAGGAGTGGCTTGTGCTGGTGGTGGATTGTGACTATGCTTGGGTCTTTTGTCACACCTGATTCCCTGTGGTTCAGTTCAGTGGAGCTCACTGGCCCTGCAGCAGGTAGAGTTCCTGCCCTGCCCCACCCCCCAGCTCTCTAGCCACAGAGCCTGGATCATAACTGAAACACCAGGGGACTCTGAGCCTCACTTCACCCCATGGAAGAACGGTGCTGGCCAAAGGCCGGGTACGTGCACGTTGCCACTAGGAGTCCTGGCCCCCTGTGTGAGGCTTTGGGAGTCCTTGGTGGGTACAGTGGGAACTGCAGAATGGATTGTGGGAAATGGCCCAGGAAGGCCAGACTAGAGTCAACTCAGAGGACACTGATGCCATGTGGAGTACATGGAGTCAAGGCCTAGCAATAACCAGAGAAGGATTGGGGAGGCTTCTGACAGCTGTCCAGGAAGGCTCAATGAGGCTGCTGGAACAGTGTAAGTGAACAATGCTGAGGCTCAAAGTCCAGAGTGACAGCAGGTGGCAGAGAAAGGAAAAGAACCATAAACTTGGAATCAGCATGGTTATGCTCAAGTTTAGGCCTCCCACTTACTAACTGGACTTTGGGTGAGTCTCAGGGCCTCAGTTATCAATCATATGGATAATCACACCAACCCTAGGATGGCGAGGACTGAAGGTGAGTAGTGGGGCAAACTACAAGTTAGAGAAACCTGGCAAAGAAGTGACGGAAGAACCCCCGAGGAGCCTGAGAAGGGACCCCTCCCTGCTGTAAATTGGTACCTCGGTGCTTTCCTCCTTGCTGCTTGTTTTCTGCTCGTTGAGGTTCTGGCTTTTCGGGGGCCTGGGCGGGGGTTCCTGGTTCACACAGGCTGGTAGCTTCCGAAGGTTGTAGTAGAAGGCCTCTGACAGCTCTTCCACCGTAGCCACCGGCAGCGGCCCAGCCGGCCACTCTGGCTGCCTTTCGGTCTCCACCACAGTCAGGTCCAGCCAGCGGGGAGGGATCTCGAAGTATTTCCCTGGCTTGGAGTCCAGGCCCACCACCAAGAACGGCTCTGTGATCTTCTCCTCTAGCCGCAAGCCAGGGAAGGAGACCAGGGGATCAGCAGGGTTGCTGGAGTCCTTGGCCACCACCTTGACCTCACAGGGCAGGGAGAACTGGGCAGTCAGATCTGCCAGGCTGTAGCGCCGGTTGTCGTTCCTCTCCTCCACAAAGCCACCAGGGATGTAGAGGGGCAGCAGAAGCTGTTCTTGGTCTTCCACCTCTTCATACTCTTCATTTTCCTCCCCAGACTGGTCATTCAGCCGCTGACAAACCAAGACATCTATGTCCTGGCCTTGGGCCCCACAGACTTGGCCAGACCCTAACACCTCCAGCCGGTCACCCACAGCCAGAGAAGAGAACTCAGGATATTCCTCCTTTTCCCCCTCACAGTCTTTTGTGACCACCACCCGGAGGGGCTGGCCTGGCCGGAGAGCACCCAGGAGGTCATAGGCTGTGGGGAACTCCCTTGGCCGGAGCCGCAGCTTGCCCTGGTAGGCCGCAGAGAGCATAAAGTGTCTGGGCACCTTCCGGCCCTTGCTTGAGGCCAGGACCCGCCATGTTGGTGAGGCCAGGCCATAGATGCAGAGCTTCTGGCCTTTGCGCAAAGAGCCCACCCACGGGCTGAGGAAGATGGGGGGTGCCTCTGGAACTTCCAGGATCTCTGTGGAGAGGGGAAAGGGGCCCCCCTGGGCCAGGGCCTCACTCAGCAGCAGTGGTTTGATGAAGTGGACATTCTGGGAAGAGGCGGTGACGTCCTGAACATCGACCTCCAGCGTGGAGGGGATCTTGACGATGGTCTTGCGCACTGTGGGGGGAGGTCAGCTCAGGGGTGCACCACACAGACCCGGTGATGGACCCCACCCTAGCAAAGAGCATTGTCAATACTAGTGGCCTCCTTCCTATTTGTAGCTTTTCTTTCCTACCAGCATTTTCCTCTTGTACTAGATTCTTTGCCCTCTCTTTTCCTTAAGCCTCTTTTTTTTTTTTTAACAAAATCACTATTTTTAAACATTAATAGAATAGTTTAATGTACCCAATATCCAGCTTCAACTTTTAACTCATGGCCCATATGCTTCTGTCTGTATCCCCAGCTACTGCCCCCCACTTGGTTCTGACTCAGAGTTATCACATCATGCCATGGGTGCCTATTTCAGTGTTTTCTCTAAAAAGGAGGATAATTAAAATTTTTTAAATGCCATCACTGGGCTGAGGTTGTGGCTTAGTGGTTGAGTGTTTGCCTAGCATGTATGAGGCACTGGGTTCGATTCTCAGCACCACATAAAAATAAATAAATGTTTCTATCTACAATTAAAGAAAAATAATTTTTTAAAAATGCCATCACTGCTTCCAAATAATTGTTTGCTAATTCCTTAATATCCTAATAGCCAATCAGTTCAACCACTTTTTTCTCTTTTTAAAAAAGTTATATTTATATGCATGCTGAGATCGAACCCAGTGCCTCACAAGTGCTAGGGAAGCACTAGACTACCACAACCCCAGCCCAGTCCAACCTCTTCTTAAATTTTAATTTTAAATACAATTTCATAAAACTTCCTGTCCCGATCCTTTCTGAATTTAAACAGAAAGATAAAAACTATTGAAGAAAAAACACTTTGGGCAACTTATTTCTTCACCAGGCACTGATTTGCATCCTGATGGATAAACTCAAGAAGTGGCTCTAAAAGACTATGAAGCAAACTGGCCCATCACTGTATGGTTTGATCACAACGCATGAAAGATAGGGCAGAGAATACTCTCCCCATTTTACAAGTGAGGACACTGAGGCTTAGAGGGTGGTGACTTGGGACTTTTGCTCCACACCAGAGGAGCTGATAATTGGTTGAAGCTGGGAGATGTTCATATGGGGCGTTTGTTATACTGTTCTTTTTCTTCAGAATAGTAACCTGAGTTGCCTTGTTATTCGGGGCAGCCTGCCAAGCCTCAGCCACCACTCAAGTCCCTGGATCCCCAGACTATGGTCTCTTACTACCATTTCCCAGCGTGGTTTCAGGGCATCCTGGGAAACAACTTCAGTTCCTCGACAGGAAGTGTTCAAAAGGAGTCTAAAACACCTTATACCAGAGAGCAAGAAAATCTGTTCAACCCCATACTACGGTCTGTCAAAAAGATTCAGGAGCCTGAAGCCGTGGCATGCACCTGTAATCCCAGCAACTCAGGAGGCTGAGGCAAGAGGATTACAAATTTGCGGCCAGCCTTGGCAATTTAGTAAGAGCCTGTCTCAAAATAAAAAAAAATAAAAAGAGCTGGGGATGTGGCTCAGTGGTAGAATCCCTGAGTTCAATTTCCAGTACCCCCCCAAAAGAAAAGAAAAGATATCTGGAGTCTGTCTTGAAATAATCAGGTGGAGTAGGGATGGGCAGAAATGAAACAAGGAGGATTATGAGTGGTCACTGTGATGCTGGCTGGCAGGTCATGGGGCTCCTTTTACTTCCCCCCTGTTTAATATGTTTGAGTTTTTCCACTGTAAAAAAATTTAGGGTTTGGAGTGCAGCTCAGTGTTAGAATGCTTGCCTAGCATGTGTGAGGCCCTGGGTTCTATCATTAACACCACCTTTAAAAAAAATAATAATTGTAGTTGGACACAATACCTTTATTTTATTTACTTTTATGTGGTGCTGAGGATCAAACCCAGCACTGCACATATGTTAGGCGAGTGCTGTACCGATGAGCCACAACCCCAACCCGTCACCACTTTTTAAAAAGATTAAAGAATCACACTTGGCGCTATGGTTTGCAGTCAGCCCGAACTGCTCTGCAGGTAAATGCCAGAGAGCTGAGCTGCAAATAATCTGTGCTCCAGGAAAGAGGCCCAGGCCCCCATTCTACCTCAGCTCAGCCTTAGCCTCTCACTAACCAGCTTTGGCCAGGTTCTGCCTGTTTCCTCAGCCCTGATTTGCATGCTGCCACCAGCCTGAGAAATACACCAAGAAACAAGGAGAAACAGCTGGGGGTTCACTGATCGATTGTACCCTCTGGTCATTCAACAGAGGGGGCCTTCAGGAGCAATCCTGCTCTCCCCAAGTCAGGAAATGTTCCTCCCAAACAACTGGTCAGCTTTTCGCTTGGCAACAACTGCAGTTCCTGGAGAGGAAGTGTCTCTTTGTACCAGCTGCTAGCAAGCTCAGAACCCAACTTCTGCCAGTTCTACAAAGCACTCATGTTTATCCCATTTTCTTATTTCCTTTTACACCAAATTCCCCACTTGGGCACTTTTATTGGATACATTGTATATACTGGGCAAGCCACCTGGTACCCCTAAGAGTAGGGGAGACATCGCCCCATGGAGGGATGATGTCTTCCATCAGACCAGCTCCCCAGGGCCCTCTATCCCCCCACATCCATCCCCCCACCCCCGCCCAGGCTACTCACTGTGCATGATGGCTTGGACCTCATACTGGGGCCTTAGGATCAGGCAGTTCCAGGGAAGGCTTGGACAGGTAAACATGCCATCCTTATAGGCTGGGTCCTGCAGAACCTGGAGCAGGGTTTGGGGGGTGCCAGGCTTCCATCTCCAGAAGGGCCCCTTCTGGGACAGGGGCAGGTGCAGGACAACCTGCTGGGCTCCTGACACCAAGACACAGCGTGCACAGTGGGTCCCATGATACATTTCCACAGCCTCAAGCATGAGGGGCTGGTTCTCAGTCACCACCCTCTTCTTTGTGACAATGCTGTGGATTGACGTGAAGTAAATGGGCAACTGTATGGAGCTCTGAGTTGTATCACAGACAAGCTCCTCTAGGGTTCTGAAGCTGTGGGGGCTGGTGAGAGGACTGAAGTGACCTGTGGGATTCAGAGGGAGGGAAAGTCAGGATGGGTGCAGATCTTATTGGGTCCAGATCCTGGAGTGGCCCTGCAGACAACCCAGCCAGAATACCCTGAGGGTGGGCCTACAACTGGACATCCAGGCTGCAGAATTGAGGGACAGAAGGCACAATGACATTGTGAATGGACAGTAAGGGTCAGAAGTGGTGACAGAAGGGGACTGTCACCAGAGGCAGAGAATAGAACAGTGTCCCCTTCCCCAGAAGACACAGACGACTTCCAGTTTCCCACTTCAAGACTTCTCTGCCTCTCACTTTGCCAACTTGTCATTTCTACCTGATGCCACACCCACAGCTCCAACCCCACACATCCAAAACCTGTTGTCCCCCCACTCCACACCAGGGGTAGTGCCATTGTCCCTCTCTCCAAAACTCCAGGAATTACTGGCTAAAGTGTTTTCAGGTCACCACCCTACCCCTAGTCCTGTCTGCTAGCGCTCTCTGACTGCTCTTCCGCTGCACCCCCAGCCAACAACCATTCATCTGCCATAGTGGCCTAAATGTCCATCTCCAAAAGCAATGTTTCCTGCACCAAACCCACAACTCAAATCTAACCAAGGAAACATCACAAAGCCTGGACTGACGGGCATTCCACAAAAGTACTGGTCTGGGGCCAGCAATGGAGCATGTACTTAGCATTTGCAAGGTCCTGGGTTAGATTCCCAGCACCAAAAAGAAAAAAAAAAAGTGCTGATCTGGAGTCTTTGAAATGTCCACATCAAAACAAAGGAAGTCAGAGGAGATACACTAACCTGAAGGAGGACTAAAACATAGGACAGGCTGGCCACAGGCCTGTAATCCCAGATACTTGGGAAGCGGAGACAGGAGAATGGCAAGTTGTAAGCCAACCTGGGCAGTGTAGTGAGGCACTGCCTCAGAATAAAAAATAAAAGAAGCTTGTACAGTTCAATTCCCAGTACCAGAAACAAACAAACAAAATGTCACTTGTGTATTTAAAAACCTCACTGACTGCTCAGCACCTTCAAAACAGAGACCAAGTCCAGTGTAGTGGCCCACCCCTGTAACCCCAGAAACTCAGGAGGCAAGAGGATCCCAAATTCAAGGCCAGCCTCAGCAATTCGGTGAGGCTATAGGTGACTTATTAAGACTGTTTCAAAATAAAAAATAAAAAGGGCTGAAGGTGTAGCTCAGTGGTAAAGTGCCTCTGGGTTCAATCCCTGGTACTGAAAAAATAAAGAAAGAAAAAATAAGAGACCAGGGGCTGGGGTGTGGCTCAGCAGTAGAGAGCTCACCTAACACGTGTGAGGCCCTGGGTTCGATCCTCAGCACCACATAAAATAAAGAATAAGAGATCAAACTGTGCTGAGCCCACCTCACAGCCTCAGGTGGTCTGGCTCCTGCTCCCCTCTCTCAACCTCCCCTCACCTGGAATCCACACCCTGTCACATCAGCCTAGAGCAAGTCCTCAGAGTGTGCTTGCTGTGTGCCAGCCCTGTTCCACGTCACACACCCAGCTCCTTTAATCCTCACATCAAGCCTAATGCCCTCACTACAGAGGAGGAAGCTATGGCCTAGTGAGACCACAGGAACTTGTGGTGGTCAAGAGATAATAGCAGATCTGGGATTCCCATCCAGGCTGCTGTTCAAGGTCTGGGCCGTGGTCCACCAAGGTACAGGTCTCGTGTGATCACTGGGTGCCTTGGGGCTTTTTAAACACCACATACACATGTGCATTTCAAGCTGGGATCCTTCTTCTAGCTTGGGAGCCACTGCTTCCAGCAAGCCTTACAGAGCACTGGCAGAGTAGGTTTCTGCACCGAGTCCTCTCTAAAGTATGTGCCTATTCAGCTATTGTCCACCTCTCACTGCCACCCTGGAAGCACCTGGTTCATCCTGAGTTCCACACTCCTGCCCCTGCTAGGGCCTGTCACATATGGGTGTTGGCAGATGTTTGATGAGTGAATATGTGAGTGAGCACAGAGACTGGCACCTGGCAAAGGCCTGGTACAGAAGCAGACACGATCAGAGTGTCAGACTGCTCTGAAGTCATTCATCCTTGGCCTTGAGGCTGGATAGTGGTGAATGTGAGAACCTCGTGTGTAAAGCCAGAGGGGTGGGAGTAGGTACTGGGATCAGCAAGCACACCCACAAGTGACCCACTGGCATGCCTGGAGGGTGCCAGGGGAGGCAAACGTGTCCTTACCTTGAAAGTTGGGAGGGAGCTCCAAGGTCTGACCTGTCCCTGGATCCTCACAGATCACCTTCTGGAGGCAAACCTGGATGACCTTGATCAGGTCCCCCGTGGAGAGGCAGCACTCATTCCCGTCGATCTCATAGATGGAGCCTGTGGAGACAAGGACTCAGTTTCCTCAGTTGGCAAGGGCCAAGCCCTGGGTAGCCTGTGCCCTGTTCCCCACGGACTCTGCTCTGCTGTACCTTTGCATAAATTGCTGCCTAGAATGCCCTTCCCTGGCCACCCCTCCTCTGCCAGCTGGCTCAGCCATCCTCAGGACAGCCCTGTCATTGCTTTCTCTTAGCGTTATATACGCCCCTGTGTGCTGCCTTCCCTGGCCTTTTTCACATGGCTGTGCCTCCGAGCATGAGCTCCCAGGTAGGACTGGTCCATCTCGGCGTCACTGCAGCCAGCATGGCCTGGCTCTGAGTAAATAATCCAGTGACCCTCAACTCCCTCACTGTACAGACTCAGAGAGTCAGTGGTTCCTGCAGATCACACAGGTAGGCGCCAGACACTCCCAACACCTTGCTTTCTGCTTCAAATGCTTTTTTTTGTGTGTGTGTGTGTGTGTATCAAGGATTTAACCCAGGGGTGCTTTGCCACTGAGCCACATCCCTATCCCTTTTTGTTTTTTATTTTTATTTATTTATTTATTTAATATTTTTTAGTTGTTGATGTACCTTTATTTTTTATGTATTTATATGTGGTGCTGAGGATTGAACCCAGTGCCTCACACATGCTAGGCAAATGCTCTGCCACTGAACCATAACTCCAGCCCCTTGTTTTTATCTTTGAGACAGAGTCTTGCTTAGAGCCTTGCTAAATTGATGAGACTGACCTCAAACTTGCAATCTTCCTGTCTCAGCCTCCTGAGTTGCTGGGATTACAAGCATGCACCACCACTCCAGGCCAGATGAGTTGCTTTTATTTTTTAATTAACTAATTAATTAGTTTTGGTACTGGGGATTGAATCCAGGAGCACATAACCACTGAGCCACATCCCCAGCCCTTTTTTAAAATATTTTATTTAGAGACAGGGTATCACTGAATTGCTTAGGACAGCTTTGAACTCATGATCCTCGATCCTCCTGCCTCAGCATCCTGAGTCTCTAGGACTAAAGGAATGCACCACCACACCCATCCAGATGAGTTGCTTTTAAAGGAAGCACAGTAGACAGTGGAGGCCACTGACAGGGTAAGGCCCTTTGGCTAAGGTTCTGAGTGCCACCTACAAGCTTGGCAGCTCTGCTTTCCTGTTTTAAATTGCTAAAGCCATGCAGAGAACTTAGAAGATGCATAGTAGAGATCTCTCACCGCATAGAATGCACAGGCTCCCCATCCAACTGATGGCAGACAGAAACCTGCAGGTGGAAGGCCTTGGGGCCACCTGACCCCACCCTACTCCCAGGGAACCCCCCCCCCAGGAGATCCCTCACACTGGCCCAGAGAATTTTACTCATTTTTTTAGGTTCATTTTAAAATTTGTTCTTTTTAGATATACATAACAGTAGAGTGTCTTTGATATATTATACATTATAACTATTCTAATTAGGATCCCACTCTTGTGATTGTACATGATGTGGAGTTTCACTAGTAGTGTATTCACATATGAACATAGGAAAGCTATGTCGATTAATTCTACAGTGTTTCCTATTCCCATCCCCCCTCCATATTTCTCCTTCCCTCCATTCCCCTTTGTCTAATTCACTGAACTTCTATTCTTCCCTCTACCCCCTTATTGTGTGTTAGCATTCACATATCACAGAAAACATGTGGCCTCTGGTTTTTTTTTTTTGTTTGTTTGTTTTTTTGTTTTTTGGTATTGGCTTATTTCACTTAGCATGGTAGTCTCCAGTTCCATTCATTTACCAGCAAATGCCATAATTTCAGTCTTCTTTGAGTAATATTCCATTGTGTATATATACCACACTTTCTTTACCCAGTCATCTGTTGAAGGGCACCTAGGTTGGTTCCATAGCTTAGTTATTGTGAATTGAACTACTATAAACATTGATGTGGTTGTGTCACCGTAATATGCTGATTTTAAGTCCTTTGGGTATTCCAAGGAGTGGGATAACTGGATCAAACAGTGGTTTCATTCCAAGTTTTCTAAGGAATCTCCATACCCACCAGCAATGTATGAATGTATGAGTGAACCTTTTCCCCCATAACCTCGCCAACAATTATTGTTACTTATTTTTTGTTTTTTTTTTCCTGTAGCTCTGGGAATAGAACCCAGGGCCTTGTGCATGTGAAACAAGCACTCTTCAACCAAGCTATATCCCCAGCCCCTACTTGTATTCTGACTGGAGTAAATGGAATTTCAGTGTAGTTTTAATTTGCATTTCTCTAATTGCCAGAGATGTTGAACATTTTTTCATATATTTGTTGTCCATTTGTATTTCTTCTTCTGTGAGGTGCCTGTTCAGTTTCTTTGCCAATTTATTGATTGGGTTAAAAACAAAGAAAAATTTTTGATATATTTTAAAGGGGGCAGGGGATTATATCTCAGTTGGTAGAGTGCTTGCCTAGCATACACAAGACTCCAGTTTCAATCTCCAGCTCCACCAAAAAAGAAAAATTTGATATTGATTGGGATATCCTTTTTTTGGGTTAAGTTTTTTGAATTCTTTTTATCTATCTGAGGTGCAGATGGCAAAGATTGTTTCCCTTTCTATAGGCTCTCTCTTAACATATTTGTTTCCTTTGCTGTGAAGAAACTTTTTAGTTTGATACCATCCCATTTATTGATTCTTGATTTTACTTCTTGTGCTTTAGAAGTCTTATTGAGAAATTCGGTTCCTAAGCTGACATGATGGAGAATTGGACCTACATTTTCTTCTAGTAGGTGTAGTCTCTGGTCTAATGCCTAGGTCCTTGATCCACTTTGAGTTGAGTTTTGTGCAGGGTGGGATTTCAATCTACTACATATGGATTCCCAGTTTTCCCAGCATCATTTGTTGAAGAGGCTATCTTTTCTCCAATGTATGCTTATGGCACCTTTGTCTAGATAACTGTATTTATATGGGTTTCTGACTTCTATTCCATTTCTACTGGCCTTTGGGTCCGTTTTGGTGCCAATACCATGCTGTTTTTGTTACTACAGTTCTATAGTATAATTTAAGATCTGGTATCATGATGCCTCCTGCTTCACTTTTCTTGCTAAGGATTGCTTTGGCTCTTCTGGGCCTCTTATTTTTCCAAATGAATTTCATGACTGCTTTTTCTATTTTTATAACGAATATCATTGGAATTTTAATAGGAATGGCATTAAGTCTGTATAGCCCTTTTGGTAGTAAGGCTATTTTGACAATATTAATTCTGCCTATCCAAGTACATGGGAGATCTTTCCATTTTCTAAGGTCTTCTTCAATGAGAACTTTATTCTTACCCCAGGAAAATGCCCACGGGCTTAACACATTCCGTCTACAATGTGAGGATGTGGACTGCCCCCAGCCGGTGAGAGCAGCAGCTGCAGAGCTACATATACCTGACCCTCCATTAAGTGCTACAAATGCATCACTGCATTTTAAACCTAGGCGTGCCCTGGAGAAAGGAGCAGTTTCTCATTCTTAAATAATGACTTAGGGGCTGGGGATGTGGCTCAAGCGGTAGCACGCTCGCCTGGCATGCATGCGGCCCGGGTTCGATCCTCAGCACCACGTACCAACAAAGATGTTGTGTCCGCCGAGAACTAAAAAATAAATATTTTAAAAAAATAAAAAATAAAAAATAATGACTTAGACTGAAGAGGTTGAGTGCATTCGTCAGATGTTCAGGTAACAGGAGGCTGAACTGGGATCAAGCCCAAGGTAGCTGCCTCCAAAACCAGTGCTCCTAACTACATAGTCAACTAGTCCAGAGTCCCCTGCCCTGTGTCTTCCCTTATCGGAATAGCCAACTGACCCTCCTCCACACTCATCCCATCTGCACACTCACACCCTGTCAAGCTCTTCTCTAATCACGTCACTCCGACTTCCGCCATTTCCCACCACCCTAAGTCAGGCAGAATGAGGAAACTCAGATATTGTGACATGGGCAGGCAAGAGAGCTGGGAGGTAAGAGGAGCTTGGTCCCAGGTTGGGGAGAAAAACAAACAGATCCCAGGTGCCTGTCTGCAGGAAGCCCCCAGAGGTGAAGTCAGAACTTGAACTCAAATCCTTCAGATTCCCAAATGGATTTGGAGAGACCCACCATGAGGTGGTGCCCCTCGAGCCTCAGGCAAGCCTTGGGTGGTCCTCTGTGTGTCTCAGTTTTAGCCTAGGATCCCATTTGGGTCCTCAGAACACTGCAGGAAATGGCTGCGGCTCAGAAAGTGCTGCTCCAGAGAGGGAGCAGGATGGCAGCAGGGCACTTCTGCAGAAGAACTGGGCACAAGTCAGGAGCCTGCACCCCACCCCCAGCATTCTCAGATCCCTTCCTCCTCCACCTCCCCTTCTTCCACTTTGGCCCAAAGTTTCTCCCTCCCCACAGAGCAGCCTAGCTTTCCATCCACTGCCTGTCAATCCCTCTAGTTCTTTCAGGCAATAAATTATCACTGTGCCTCTGCAGGTGGGCTGTGGGCAGAGAGCAATGTGCAGGTCAGCCAAGGAGCAAAGAGCAGGGAGGTCTTCCCGGAGTAAGAGCCGTTTAAGTTGAAAACTGAAGACCGGTCAGATCAGGTACTGCCCACCATCTAGCGAAGGGCCAAGACGAGACGAAGCAGAGGGAAGACAGAGTAGGGAGGAGTGTATGGCAGAGATGGGAGGACCGACCTGTCACTTAAGCATTGGGGGGCTGAGATGTAGCTCAGTAAAGAAGCACTTGCCTGCCGGGTTCAAGCCCTAATCCCCAGCACCACAAATGGTCAAACAACAGCAATGCTCCAGAGCGCCCTGATGCCGCTCCCTGGGCACAGTCTCGGTTCTCAAAACGCAAAGTATACTGGGCTGAGGTCGTAGCTCAGTGGTAGAGCGCTTGCCTCGCACAAGTGAGGCCCTGGGTTCGATCCTCAGCACCACATAAATATAAACAAATAAAAATAAAGATATTGTGTCCATCTACAACTAAAAATAAAAATTAAAAAAAAAAAACCGCACAGTATGCAAACCGTGGTTCCACCAGGTATTGGCTCGCTTCCACCCACCTCCGGTGCCGAACTCACTGACTTCCCAGCACCACCTGCAAGACAGGTCAGCGGTCCCCGATTCCACGAAAGCAAAAGCTGAGGTGCAGAGGGGTTGATGGTGGCCCCAAACCACCAACCCTGGGCTGTGGAGGCGTCAGCATTGGAACCCCGGCTGAGGCTTCCCTAGGTTACAACGCCCTCGCCCCACACCTGGGGAGAGCCCGGACACTCACCCTCCAAATAGACTCCAGAGTAGACCCGCAGCACACGCGGGAGGGAGGCAGGGTCCACGGAGCGCACGAAGTCCTGCAGCGGCACCGGCTCCATGGTCCCCGCGGCTCTTTGGGCGCAGACCAAATGGCCCCAGCCCGCCAACCCGGGAGAACCGGGCGGTGCCTCCCCGGGACACCCACGGCCCCGCCCACTCGAAGCCCCGCCCCCACCGAGGCTGGCACGGTAGGAGCCGGGTCTCCAGAGGACGGACCTGGAGCCCTTGGTGTAGTCACTTCCTTCTCCTGGTCTCAGAGTCCTCATCTCTGAAATAGGACCAGGCTCCATGACGCACGACTGTAATCCCAGCTCCTCGGGAGGCTGAACTGGAGGATTGCAAATTCGAGGCCGGCCTGGGCAATTTAGCAAGATCCTGTCTTAAGAAAACAAAGAAGTATATAATTAAATACATATGTACATATATATTTACATTTTTGTATTTGTATAAACACATACTTATATGTTTATATATTTATATATCTTATATGTATTACATGCCAGGGGCGCTTAACCACTGAGCCACATCCTCAGTCCTTTTTATTTTTTATTTTGAGTCAGGGTCTCGTTAAGTTGCTGAGGCTGGTCTTGAACCTGGGATCCTCCTGGCTCAGTCTCCCAAATTGCTGGGATTACAGGCATGTGCCACCGTGCCCGGTTGGTGGTAGCTCAGTGGTAGAGCTCTTCTGGGTTTAATCCCAGAATCAAAATAAATGAATAAATGAAATCAAATTCTGTCATAATACCTACCTCTTACATTGGTCTCACGATTTAGAGCATCTAGATCAGGACTTGACACTGGAAGGTGACTAAAAGCTGTCCCCTCCTCTCCAGCGTGACAGTGATGTACCCCCTCTAGATGGGGCAATGGTGAAGACTAAGATGGAGAAGCCCCAGACATCCACCTCCAGGGTGCCAGCGATCCAGTGAGACAACACAGCCTATCTTGTGTAGCTCTGGGTCTCCAAGGAGAGACAGTCCTGCCAGTTAGGTCTGAGGAAGAAGGTATAGTGTCAGTTCTCCTGGATCCCCCTCCAGGACACTCAGTGGTCGTCTATTTGGACATCATTAGTGACAGGGAACTCATTCCCTTTTCAGGATGCCCATATTCTTTGGACAATTCTAGTTAAAAATTCTTCCTTGGACTAAAGAGAAATCTGCTTGGGAGAGAGACCACCCACTTCTGATTCCAGAGACAGCCTAAAGCTTTGCCATTTCTGCATCCCTCTGGACTCAGATCAACACAGGTTCAAATCCCAGATCCTCCTCTGGTATGTTATAGGTCCTTAAGTGAATCATCCTGATTTTCTGAACCTCAGTACCCTCATCTGGAATACAGGGAAGGAATCTTAGCTGTTTGTGAGGATTAAATGAGCTGATATAGGCATTGTGCAAAATGCTTTATTTAGTTTTTGTTGTTGTTGTTAACTATAAAACTGAGCCTTTTTTTCAGTACTAGGGATGGAAGTCAGGGACCCCATTCTATCACTAAGTTGCATCCTCAACCCTTTATAACTTTTTTTTTTTTTAAAGAGAGAGGGAGAGAGAGAATTTTAATATTTTATTTTTTAGTTATCGGCGGACACAACATCTTCATTTGTATGTGGTGCTGAGGATCGAACCCGGGCCACACGCATGCCAGGCGAGCGCGCTACCGCTTGAGCCACATCTCCAGCCCCCTTTATAACTTTTGAGACAAAGTCTCACAAAGTTGCTGCTGTTGGCCTGGAACTTGTGATCCTCCTGCCTTAGTCTCCCCAGTAGCTGGAACTACAGGAGTGCATCATCAATCTTGGCCTAATAGAAGACCTCTAATCCGAGATAATAAACATTTTCAATACAAGGAATAAGTCTGAATTAAGGAACATTTATCAAAAACCCGTTTTTTCTTTTCCTATCACCCAAACATAGCAGCATTTTGCTGTTTTTGACTAACTTGCTGAGCTGACGTCAAACTTGCCATCCTCCTGCCTCAATTTCCCTAGTTTCCGAGGTTACAGACATGTGGCACACCCTGCCCCCCCGCCCCCCGCCTCTCAGTTGTTCTTTCTTTTCTTGCAGTCCTGGGAATTGAAGCCAGGGTTTCACACATGCTAGCCAAGTGCTCTACCGCTGAACTACGCCCTCCACCCCCTCGATTTTTTTGTTTATTGTAAAGCTGCAAAAATAGTACAGATTTTAAAAATATCACACACCTAGTTTCAGTTTCCTTTTCCATCTCACATTACCAGGGTGCAGTTTTCAAAACCAAAAAGCACTACATGGCAGTAACTAAACTGCAGACCTACAGGGATCTTATCTGTTTTCCTATTAATGTCCTTCTCCTCCAGAAATTTACAGAGCTCCTATCATGAAAGTTTCTGTCTCTCCTTGTTCCACTTTTGACCTTTGGGTTATGGATTTAGGGGAGAATACAGCAGAGCTGAAGTGACATCGTTATCGGGGAGCATGTGATATATCCACGATTATCACTGATGATGGTGACTTCAAAGATTTGGTTGAGCTGGCGTTTCCATGTTTCTCCATGTTAACATCTCTGCTTTCCCTTTCCGACCCCTGTCCTTTGGAAACAAGTCACTAACAAGCTCACACTCAGGGCAAACAGAGGGGAAGCATCCAGTAAGTATTTGGAATTCTCTAGGGAAGACTTGTCTCTTTCTCTTCATTTATTTATTTATTCATTCATTCACTCAATTATTTACTTATATCAGTAGAGATGCATGAATATTTATTTTATGGTTAGACTAATAATCTGATAATGTAATATTTATTTTGTTACTCTAATTCCCAGCTTTGGAAGTTCCTTCAGAGTGGCCCCTGAATCCTTCAACCAGCACCACTGTATTTTTTTGTGTGTGTGGGGGGTGGAATACCAGGGGTTGAACCCAGGGGCACTTAACCCCTGAGCCACATCCCCATCCCTATTTTGTATTTTATTTAGAGACAGGGTCTCACTGAGTTGTTTAATGCCTCACCATTGCTGAGGCTGGCTTTGAACTTGTGACCTTCCTGCCTCAGCCTCCTGAGCCACTGGGATTACAGGCCTGCACCACCACACCTGAAGCTACCCTGTCTTTAAAATAGGATAGGGCTGGGGTTGTAGCTCAGCGGTGGAGTGCTTGTCTGGCAGGTGTGAGGCCCTGGGTTTGATCTTCAGCACCCCATAAAAATTAAAAAATAAAATAAAGATATTGTGTCCAACTACAATTAAAAAAAATTAAAATAGGATAATAATCAAAACCTTCCAGGGCCCCTGCCCCTGCCCTAAGATCAGTCATTTCTTCCCAGAGTCTCATTCTTTCCATCAGATAAACCAAGATCTGGATGCTGGGAGTGTCCCTGGCCACTGGATTGTCTATTATTTTTGTTTGTCTTTTTCTTTCCTTGAATAAACATTTATGGACACCACAACTTACCCCAGGACTCAGCTGAACTCAGATGCAGTCCTAACCTTCGAGGAGAGGCACCTGGCTGATAACATTCAACAGAAGATTTCAGATTCCTTATTTTGCCTTGCCTTCGTCTCTTGAGCATTTTCGCATGTTCTAGAAAATATAGTTGTTGGCTAGACATGGAGACACACACCTGTAATCCCAGCTGCTTCCAGGAGGCTGAGGCAGAAGGATCACGAGTTCAAGGCCAGCCTCAGCAACTTAGCAAAGACCCTCAACAATTTAAAGAGGCTCCAACTCAAAAACAAAAAAAACAAAAAAGGGCTGGAGGCATAGCTCTGTGGTAAAGCACCCCTGGGTTCAATCTTTGCACCACACACACAAAAAAAATAATAATGTGTAGCTATTTATTTATTTGTGTGACTCTTTGCTTCCTGTTTCCTCAGCAGTCACACAGTTGGCTCCTGACAGGCAGGGACCTGGCTATATACCTACCTTGTCCCTCTACCCCCCTATGTATAGGGGGACAGGGCCTCACACACAGTAGGTGAACAATTAGCCAGTGTTGTCAGTGGCTGATGGAATGAATGGGTAGAAAACAGTTCCTTGGGATAGATTCATAAAGTGGAATTTCTGGAGCAAAGGGGCTGCTTGTTTTTACAGCCCCTTAAGGGCATCTTTAGTAATGAAGACAGTCCGCTGTGCCTCTGCTGGGCCAGATGAAATAGCAAAAGAGAAGGACTTTGTAAGAGCTGAAAGGAGGGATATACAGAGGGATATGGGAGGCCTGGGCCCAGGAGGGTCAGCCGAGCAGAGGAGATGGAGAGGAGGGGGCACATGTCCATGTTTCCAGCAATACCAATAGGTGGATTCATTAAGCCCAGACTCTCAGTAACCTCTGTACAGACATTCTCTCATTTAATCCTCCCTACACATAGGCAAGGTAAACAAGATCAGCACCATTTTACAGATGGGGAAACCAAAGCTTAGAGAAGTGAAGGGATTTGTCTGGGCATGGTGTCACACACCTGCAACCTGAGAGGCTGAGATAGGAGGATCACTGCCTCCAGGTCAGCCTCAGCAACTTAATGAGGCCCTGTCTCAAAATAAATGAATAAAAAGGGTTGGGGATATAGCTCAGTGACAAAGCATCCCCGGGTTCAATCCCCAGTATCAAAAGAGAAAAGAAATAAAAAGTAATTTTAAAAAAGGAAAGGGATTTGCATAAAGTCATGCAAAATCAAGATGCTAGCATTTTAGCCCAGCTCTCTAGGCTTCTCCTGCAGACCAAAGAAAACAGCAGTTTCTCACGTCTTTTCCACGTGTATCAGCCAACTGTGGAAGCCTCATGGGTTTCTGCTTAGCCCAGAATTGCAGTAGAGGGTGAGGACTTAAAACAAACAAATAAACAAACAAAGAAGCAAACAACAAAACTGGGCTCAAATCCTGGCTGCACCACTTCTTGGTTGAATGACCTTGACAAGTTCCCTAGCCTCTCTGAGCCTCAGTCTCTCCTGTACAATGGGGACTGTCAGCAAAAAGGCTACTGCAATACAGGCACAAGCACATGCCAAGCTCTTGATGTCATTGCCCAGGGCCTGCGTATCTCTGACACATCTTAGATGAGATCTCATCTCACTCCTCCTGTCACCTCACTTCCTATTTCAGAAAGTGAGACCGAGTGGGAAACTTTTCTTGCGGTTGCACAACATGTT